GGCCACCATTTTACGAAGGACAGCACAAGCTGCACAAGAAACAGGCTGGGAAGCACAATTTAAACTTCTGACGATTCCATTTAACCCATAAGACTATTGTTTGCGAAAGGATTTTTTAAGTGTGATTTGACTTGTAATGTTTGAAAATTCTGTATAGATTCTGAAAAGATCAATCGTTTGCGCATACCGCGCAAAAACGTTCTTAAAAATATTTTTTCGTACTTACATGTTGGCATCTTTCCACTCCATGAACCACTGGACATGCATCTTCTAGCCCCGTGACCAATCAAAGTATATCCCGGATTACAAAAGTACCTGATTATACTTCCTACCCAATAATTCTTGCCAGAAACAATAGCATAGCTTGGTCTGCCTGGGTTACCACAACTTCGTAAAACTAAAAGAAACAGAATGTATGTTAAATGTGCTGATGAGTGGTCACATAACCCAATAAGGAGAGAAATTTCGCTGGAGAATGCGAGAATAAATAGTAAAATCTTGAATTAGAAATAAATAAATAATCATGATCAGGGTTTGAGTGTAGATTCCCGGATTCTACATTATCTATTGCATCTGGATAAGCCAGTTTGTCTTGCTTTAATAGGGAGAAGTTTAACACCCACGTTATTTTTTAACAATATACACAACTTCATGCAGTAAGAAACGTTATGGACGCCTTACCTATTCTTGAACTTGCCTCCACTGTATTGTTATACATGTTGGTAGCGACACATTTGTACGTGGCTTGGTCTGAAGGTTGGAACTGATTAATCACGAGTTCGCTAATAACTGTTTCAGTGGTGACATTGCTAGTAAAATTACTGACGGGTATGATGATGTTGTCTTTGTACCAACTGATTTTGGAAAGTGGTGACCCTTTCGCGGAACATTTTAGTCGAATCTCTTCTTTGATACCTGTTACGGTTATGTAGCTTTGCGGTTTTGTGGTTAATAAAGGCGACTCTGGAAGAAAAAAGTGAATTTAAACTAGTAAGCTTATCACATCAAAAGGGGTTGGATTTACAAAGCCCTATTTCCAAACAATTATCTCTAACAGAAACACCACATCTCTCAGTACACAGAAAAGTGCTTCCTGTAAATAAATCCGGCTCTCTCCATAGTATGTTTTCGGCGCAAAATGGTGTTGCGTTCACACCTTGAGTACTGACCGGATATGCAACTGTGTACATAGCTACTCCAAAACGCCCTAGCTGGCGCCATTTTGAAACATGAGCTTAGCGGCGAGCTCAAAGCAGTGGACTGCCCCAGGGACTCACTAAAAACGGTGAGCACACAGTGACCAGGTGCCCTGCACTTTTGTGCCCGTGCAAGTTCTCGACCTTGTACTCGGGTACGGCACCATACCCAAAATCTAGCATCGGTACTTGGCCTACTTAAGGCACGGAAAAACGGGCAACAAAAAACGTGCAACTTGTTTTGCCATATTGTGCAAAACGAGTTGAAAAGTGGTGTTGCACGTTTTACCATCCACATTCAAACCTGTTAACAACGTGACATGTTGCAAGACAGGTTTTATGTGGGTGGTACAACGCGCAACATCGCGATTCAACTCGTTTTGCAGCAATGTTGCAAAACAAGTTGCAAGCTTTTTGTTGCCCCTTTTACCGTACCTTTAGTGTTCGGGCACTGGCCAAGAGTGAACGTTACCTCACAATTATACTTTGAAATCGAGGTAAATATTCATTAAGATTGATAAGAGCAATACACAGAAAGTGATCTTAACGAAATCAGAGGGAAATCCATTACAGAACGATTATTTTGCTTGACGGTTCAATTCATGAGTGAAAAATGTATACGTAGCCGCAAACAGTACATACATGCGCAACAATAGGATTTCTTCAGAATTTTCAAACATGGGGAATATCATAGTTTCAGTCCATTTGTAAGCCAATAATAATAGCGTTAACTACGGATTATAAAATGAAACGCCAATAGTTCAAATTGCTACGTCATTTGAGACCTTTATTTGCTTCTGTTACTCAAAAGTTTCTTGTAACTCTCCTCGCAAGTGCTGACAATGGAGGCTGCGATCGGGGTGGTAAGCGTTGCTTTTCTTTAATTAACTTCGATCAAGAGCCATAATGGGACAGAGAGGGAATCTTAGGGCGTTGGCCGGGATATGTGAGTTTCACGAAAGTTATTTTTAGAGGTTGTGATTAAACGGAAGTCTAATTCCTGGGACGTCCGCTCATTTTAATCGATTGTCTGAAACATCATCAAGTCCACGAGTGACTGCCTTAAAGCAAACAAAGCAGAATATTGTGATGGCCATCGATTGTTGAATATTGAACATGACCCTTTTCGAGTGACATTTACAGGCGTCTAGATTTCGGCATCAACATTTAGATGAGCCTGATCAGGTGCCTGATGAGCACATTTCAGTTCAAGAAATTGAAGTTAGCGTTCTTACTCGCATGCGTAGGATAAGCGATGATTTGTCCGAAGAGGACTTAAGAGCGGATGTCTGTAAATAACGACC